GAAGGGTTCCAGAGATAAGTATACAGACAAAGAACTGTTAGAAAGGCACACAACGCTGCAGTTTAAAATAGTATTTTCACTTTATTTTTACACATGTGAATAATGCTAAAAATTGTCATTTCTATGATTTTTTATGCATTCTATTTTATTACATTTGGCTGGATTTTTCTTTCTTTTTTTAGTTTTGGAGCTCTTACTTAATTTTCAAAAATGACCCTTGTAATACTCAGGAATCTTAACAGCCAAGTAAAACTGAGACAATAGTCCATCCACAACACAGTATCTGATTTAGAAAACAAACAACATGGCATTATATCTACAAAGTGTGCGTATGAATCCTTATCATATGACCAACCTTTTAGAAATACATCTGAAAAAATAGTTTGGGGCTGTTTTGAAAGCTGGCTGTCTTGTAAGAGTAAGGGCACACGTTACAGTGCAGCTTAGCCAAGTTAATGGCCAGGCACCACAGATGGGGCAACCCCAAGCCCTTTCTCCCAGCCACCTACCACCATCACCTCTCTTGTGCACCGAGACTTTTCTGACTGTAGATAGGCAGCTCAGCAAGCTAAACTCTGAGAAAAGCAAGCTTCAGAAACTGTGAAGAGCCTTTCATCAATTTAGCTGCTCAAAATGCCAGTTTAAAGACAGTGATGGAAGTGCACAGGTAGAGGTGGGAGAAAGGAACTTTCAGTCCCGGCAAACTGTTGCAGCATCACAGTGCTGCAAAGCTGCATCCTCTGCCTCACAAATTGGTGCCTCCCACCCCACGGCTGAAGCTATTCTTCTAAGACATTATTACGGAGTCGCACATACAGGAAGTGTTAAGATACAAATCACGAGCAGGATGCACTTATCTGGGGGGGATCCTCACTTGGCTGATGTGAGCAACTCCCTCTCCAAGTGATGGTTAAATCCTTGCTTCAGGAATAATGGTAATTCTGTGGATTTGTGTGACAGTGTGATATAGTTTTCAATAATGTCTCAAAAAAGAGAGACATTACATATTACAAAGGTTTCTCAGTTCCCTCAAGCTCCTCCAGCAAATTTTCAGCATGTACACAAACTAAAATCATCCTGCTGTTCTCCATCACATCCTGTAAACAAACGGTTACTGGAGTCAAAAGGACAGAAGATAGGCTTGTGCGTCCATCTCTCAAAACTTCTTGTATGATTTAATGCAGTGGCCTTTGTTCTAAAAGTCACAAGCTTAAAAGCAGGTACATAATTCAGTGCTCTACTGAATGGACTCTGTGCTGCATGAAGGGCGAGTGCCATGAAAGGGGATCAGCCGGCAAGAGTTCACTTTCACCAAAAGAGGGAAATCCTTCCCATGCCCCTTTCCTCTCCAATCACCTATCTTCCTCTGGAGCTTGGCGGCAATTCTACCCATTAAGCCAGAAGAAAACAATGCAGAGTTTTCGGCTGGATCGATAAGCTGAGTTGGCTCACAGAAAAGGGGTGGAGATTGGCAGAATGGCCAGGGATGCATGGCCAAGAGCAGGGTAGAGAGAAGGGAAGGAGAAATGACAACTGGCCACTGCCCAGCAGCCACCTCCCATGGCTAATCTCTTTGCACTTGCACAGAGGCCATGCGACCCACACCGGTTAAGACAAAACGGCTTGGAGATCTTAGAAGAGCCCTGACATCACCTGCCACAAGAGAAGGGCCTGATTTATACGTTACCTGAGATCAGGTCTCCAGGAATAATATGGACGACAACTGTTAGATACAAGGATATGTGAGTCTTGTGCCACTGCTGGGACTGGCTAACTTAAGGTACAGAGTAGGTACAGATAGTCTTCCTTTTCCAGTGTGAGTGAAGCTGGGAGCATGTTTATGGCCCATATGCTTGCCCTAATTTAGTTTCCTCCCCTCCCCTCCCTGGAAAAGCTGGCGCTGAAGTTGAAGGCTGTTCTTGCTCAAAATGCCAATGTCACTGCATCTTTCTGAAACATGATCTTTAACAAGTCTCTGGCCTGGAAAATAAGGGCTGAGTGGTTGCACAAGACAATTTTCAGTTAAATGGCCATTAATTACAACAGAAATAACTATATGAGTTGGAAGATACCAGTAATGATTTTTTTTTATTATTTTTAATTTTCATCAATAAAGATGAAAGTAATTTTGGGTTGATTTAAAGGTTTTGCAGAGGTACGACAGCTTGCATATAGGTCAGTCCTTGCATGCATGTAAAAATTACATTAGAGGAGCATATTTTGCTTTCATTTCCAGCCATCTCCCATTCTCACAAAGATGACATCAAAATTGGCTGTTGCTGCCCTCTTTCCGCTTAGAAGTGTACAATTGCACTTTTTAGCATGAAACTGCAAACATGCAGTTATCTACTGGAGATCACCAAGTGCCAACCATGCCTCTGATGCTTAATTCTATTGGCTTTCCTGGTTCATTACAACTTTAAATTTCTGGTGAAATATGGTATTTTCCTTTTCAAAGTTGAGATAGATTATTCAATATCCCAGTTGCTATAAATCTGCAGAGTGGCTGCTGATTTACAGCATTGGGATTCTGGCTTGCTGCTTCTTTTCAGTACATAATGTCCGTTTCAATGCAGAAAAAAGTTTACCTGGTCGAATTGCTGAGACTGGTAATATCCGATGACCAATAAATTTCCCTCCTTCTTCATACACTGCTAGCCTCAAACATGCCAGGGAAGGTAAAACGACCTAAAGGGCAATATTGTTGCATTATTAACTTTCTGCTCTGGATGAAACAGCTCCTTCCAAACACAGCAGACAGAAAGAGAAGGTTCAGTGTAGCAGACAGTAACATCTACACATCCATAGGAAGGTCTTACCACATAAGAGGTCAGAGTGTATGCACCTGTGCGTCAAAATAACTCTCATAGGAACATTTTTCAACCACCAAACTTGACATGGGATGTGTGTGTAGTATGTTGAACCCAGCAATTTGACCCTACGTTTTCAATATGATACAAAGGACTTTGGCAGCTAGACTCCTATCACACTTGAATGTCACTCTGTTTTCTGCTTATTACTCACAGTCCTACATGGTTGGTTTTTTTCCTTTGTGTTTGTGCCAATGGGATTAGTTACTTCTGAGAAAAATCACTGATAGGCATATTAGTGTTGAAAACTCAACCTGTTTTGCAGAATGTGAATGTATGAATTACATGAACCATGCCAACCCTAGCAGAATTTTCCAGTGCTGTAGTACACTCACTGGCTGGGCTAAAGACGTTTAATCAGGCAGGATGTTCACTGGCATTGGATGCTTTCTTGGCACTACATGAGAAAGAAGGCCAAAGAGTGAAAAAAGAAAACGAGAAATCAAAAAAGATTACTTAAACTACCCTACTAAGATAGGAATCTTTAATATTACTTTAAAAAAAAATGTAGCGTCATTCATCGCATTTTCTTAATGCAAATATACAAATACACATATTTTTAACCTGGGCACAGATACGGATTTTTTCAGAACATAGGCTAAAATTTATCTAGAGAATGGAGAGGGGAAAAAAAAAAAAAAAGGCAACAATCCAAAAGGAAAAGTTTCTCTAATTTATTTTCAACATTACTAAAAATAGTAATCTATGCTTCTCTGAGCACAGAGGCAGTCAGGCACGATCCTTAACTAAATAGAGAAATGAAGTACACTAATTAGAAGTTCATTACAGAAGAAAAATGCTAGTGATGTTTCCAAACTTAAGCTCTGGCAGGCTGCCAAAGGAAAGTCATTCAGAAGGCCAAATATTCAGGGAAAAGGGCTGTACTCCCTAGAAAGCAGGGCTGCAAGTACCAATTGTATAAATGTCTCTGTGAACTACATTTGCCTAGAGAAATAAGAAAGAAATTGTTTTACGAACACCTGGAGACTCAGGAGCCACTTAACCAGAGTGCTCAATAAGCAAACCCAAGAAATCCTGTTCGAAAACTGGCTGCCAAATATATCGTGAAGCACAAGAAGACATTCAAGTTGCACAGTCCTAAAACTTGCTCAGTATTTTCTGCTCCCTCAAAGTTTAGAGAATTGAATCTGAGTAATACTGTTCAGATTGCATGAGTAACTCAGGAGCCTACATCTCATTTCAAGCAGATGAGACTTACATAGTTTCATCACCTAGGTTGTTTTTATACAGCACAATCTAGCGCTAAGTGGAGATAACAGATTGCTTTGAATGTGCTAGCTTGGACAGCCAGATTGTTATAGCTCTATTCGCATCATCTTGTTTGCAGGTTAACAGGATCTGCATTTCAGCAGGGCTGTTCAGCCAAGGCAAAATGGTAATTCAGCTAAACTGCTTCTGGGATCTGCGCTGGCTCATTCCTGAGTCTATCCACCTGTCTGCTGTTTCCAGCTGTGTCAGTGAAAGAATCAAGGTGACTTGAAACTCATTTATTTTAGTAGGAGCTGGCATGACAAGAGTAGCAAAATTACAGCAAAAGTGGTTAACAATAAACAGTTCAAGAAACAACTGTTTGGAATCTCTTTATCTTCTTTCTAACAAATGCAAAGTTTCACTGCTCTGCAGAATTACTCTATTGGACAGTGATAAAACAAGCACAAGGCAGGTTTGGAAAGCAAGTGTTGCACCGACCTTCTTAAACACTATGGTTTCCTCTTCCCAGACAGGATTAACTGCATTGCCTTGAGAGGTCTTGGTCTTCAAAGCTTTTCTTCTTGTATCCACAGGCAGGCCAAACATGTCAACTTCTACGTAGGTACCGACTTTTTTATCAGAAAGAAACTGGCCTGAAATTATCTACAACCAAAACAAAGGAGGATCACTAGAGACCACTTGGGTGGTTTAGGAAATGAGTGGCTGAAATGCAGATGGATAATTCTCATTAATGGTCAGATAGTATGCATTTAAAATAAAACCAAAACAAAACCAAAACCACAATAAACAAAAAAACACTGTTTAATATTGCAGACATAGAAAAACGACTTATAAGGCCTGATTTCCTGTGATCCTGTGGTCCTGAATTCCCCTGTGAGTGATAATGTGGTTGAGATCATGCTGTTGCCTGTCCCTCAGCAGGAGATCTCATTCGTCAATCTGGCTGCCTATTTCCACAACACAGTATCTTTGAGAACTCTAATTTCTATCCAGTTTCAACAACAGATTCAAAAGATAATGCTGGAAGAAAAGAGGTATAAGCAGCAGAGAAACTAGGTATGCTTTTAATTGTGAGGGAAAAAATGAGCTAAAATGTTGGTATTCTAATAAAGGCTCTTCACAGAGGGTGAGGAGTTTCATTATGAAAACAAGACAACTATAAAATAGGTGATCTTTTGTAGTTTTTATTTCTAACAGGAAACAGAACTCTCAGCTTTAAAAAGTTAAAGAAAGGCCTGCAATTAATTGATAAAACTGAAGAGGCACAGGAATATGTAGCAGTGTCACTGTACCTTAACAAATCGAGACTTGCCTAAAGCAAATCTTAATCGGTTCTCTGTACGGGCATTGACATAAGCAGCAGAGTCTTTACCAAGCAGGCAGAAAAAACTGACCTCTGACAGCTGTCTCATGACCCCTGGATGCTCATTCCTGTTAAAAATGCTGTGCATCTCCTAATAGCTATTGAATGACTTCCACCTCCATTTACTTTATTGCAGAAGAAAGTGCCTCTAAACCCACAGCAGGACCTGAAAGCTTCCGTCATTACAGGTCACCACAAAAGGGCATGTTTTTGTACTGTGCATGCCATCAGATTATTACTTAATTCATATCCCTCCCAGCGCTGCTCTGCTATGCTTGTGTCTGCAGCCTAAGAGGAAATACTTGTTTTGTCTCAATGAAAACAGAGGATATTTTGCAGGTGGATTCTATAATACAGATGCTGTTCTAATGGACAAGTCCATTAAAGGAATAACAGGATTTCAGAACGTTTATGTTTTTATAATGAGAGATATACCAACTATAAATTTGTGATCCTGTCATAGCCAATGCAATCTATCCCTCTAAACATTCATACAAGTAGTTTTCAATGTGCAGATTCCTGGCGGTCCTTGAACTTCATTAGAAGTCCTTAAAAAGGAACCAAGAAAAGCAAGTTGGCAATGAATTACAGCTGACATTTATGGTTCCACAGTTCTGCTGGAGAACTTATAGGGAACCAGAAAATTTATTTATACTAAACAGTGTACTGTTCTAGCTATTCCAGTGCAACCTACTACTTCATACCGGCGTGTTTTAAATTCAGCTCTTTGTTACTAAAAAACACAGCCAAACTACTCTTAAATCTATTCACTTCCCAATTACTTCTATGGAAAAGAATACATACAATAAAAATACATTTATTTATCCTACAATATGACACGTGAGGCAGAAGATCTTCTGCAATTTACAAATGAAATGTCACTCCATGAAAAGAAATGCGTTTTATTTTCTTGACTTAGTATGGTCATTTGCTAGGCCACTGTACAACAGAACTGTATCTATGCTCTGACAGTAGTCACGTGAGCATTTCCTCCACCTACGTACATACCTTGACAGACAGGGTGTTCGCTACTATTCCATCCACTATACTTTCAGTAAATGGATCAAAGTGTTTGTCTGGTCTTCGCATGAATTCTGGCTTTAGCCTGTATCCGCTTTTGCCATTGTACTCGTACATTCCCATGTTTATTTGCATAGACAAATCTAGGTGTTAAAAATATTGATACCAATTATGTTCTGGATAGATAACCATTTAAAAAAGCAATAAAATAATACTATTTATTGTAATCTCAAACCAACTGTAAAGTAAACTATGGCACACGTTGCTTTAGAGCCTTCAGATGTGATCGCAGCCACCCTCTTGGATTCTTTCAACACGAAAAGACATCTGTAAGACATCTTTCAGAGACTACTCAATAGATAACATTTTCAAATTTTAAAAGAAGCCTTGATACTGAGGGTTTTGAGTCCCTCAGTGTTGGACTCATTGTACTGTTGTATTGTACCTGACCCAGCAGAGTACTTATGTTTCTAACACCTTCTAACATCAGACACTGCGTGCCTGATGCTTGGTTGAAACCAGCCCAAAGAGGTTTTCATTACTCTGCGGACTCCCAGCCTGTGTCGGGTTTTGTTTTCCATGCAAGGGTCGTGTGTACATGGGAAAGGAAAAAGGGAGTCATCCATGGTACCATGTGCCCAGAGGCAGGACATGGCCAGGTTATGTCTTGGGATGCAGTAGCTGGAAATATGTTTGCTTCAGAACAGAGAGCGCCTTGGAAGACAACGCATCTTATTTCAAAAGTGACTTCTGCATCTAGGAGCCCAAACGCCTACTTCTCAAACACTGACTTTAAGTGGAATTTGCTGTCTATGTCCCTTATGTCTTGACATACTGAGATTTTGGAAGACACGGGAAAAAAATCCTTGCCAGATCTCAAATGCTGCTCAATGGTATCCACTTATAAATGATGACAACCTGGAGGACGCTATGTATGTGTATTAATCTAGCTACAGCATGGTAATTATGAATAATCCTAGTTAAGAAAAATCCAAACAACTGTGTTAAAAATGTTAATTAACTGCTCTGTAGTATCATTCAATCACTAGACATCTTTAGATGCATAAAGCCTTTCCTACCTACAAATCAGAAACTTTATCAGGTAAGTGGACACATACAGCTTACAAAATTCCGAGACCAGAATAACTTACCTACAGTTTGGAAGTTAAGAGCAACCATTTGGCAGCCAGCATTCCAAAAGACTTGTGGCATGTAGTTTGAAGAATCTACACGTGTTCCCTTTGGGTAAATTCGGCTTAGCTGCATTTTGTTGTATCTAAACGGTAAGTAGTTAAGATACAGTATGTGTGAAAAAAATCACTTTACAGAGAGGTGCAACTGCAATATTTAAATGCAGGTGGCCTTTACAGAATGGCAGTGGGTTCCTTATCAGATTTATGCAACCGTAACACTTCCAGAGGTCCACAGTTTTGTAGGAGATATCATAAATATGGGGTAACTAAAAGTGTTGTTTGTTCCTGTACAGAGTACTCAGAATAAACAAGGAAATAGCACAGGCATATGCATTAAAAAGATGGCATTCACAAAATTCCATTTATCATTATGGTTACTAATTTGGGATTTTCCTAAGATTGCATTTATAGAGGCCAATTAAGCTGTAAACAGTGAATCTTCCTCTGGTGGGGGGAGAGGTGCTCAGCTAAAAGTGCTCTTCTGGAACGTGCATTAGAATTGGCCTCTAAAACCAGACAGAATTGATGAACGTGCACTTCTTACAGTTGAGTCTACAAATCTCAGAGATGAGAACATGCTGCAGGTTATCTGTGGAAATAGCTTTCCATTAATCTTCTTTAAGGCGCTATTTTATCTTGACCATTCATTCTTAACTGCAGCCATGATGAGAGACATCGAGAAACATCAAAAGGTCTAAACAGAACGTTCCTTTGCTTTTCTTTAGAAGTTATTAAAAAAAAAAGGAAAAAACTAGAATTGCATGGCAATAAAACAGCTCAGTGCTCTTAGAACTGGAGGTATGATGGGAAAGCAAGCTCTCTCATATGACTTTGCAAAAAACCAAGTCAGCCACATTTTGACAATTTGCTCACCATAACTCCTACCACCTCATATAGGATGATAAATTTAACAACGAGAATACAAAGTATCAGATCTTCAATATGTAGTTTATGCCTATTCCCTCTAGTCCTAGCCCACAGCACAAGGACTCATGCCAGCTTTTAAATTAGCTCATCAGAACTCAGGCCAATTAATTCATCTAGGAAGACAGTCAGATCTACAAATTTCATTTGGTTCCATATTTCCCCTGCTCCTGTCTCCAAATTTCAATAAAGCCCTGTAACAGAACTCAGATATAGAAAGGCTACGAGAGCAGCTTTCTGAAAGTCAAGGATACTCCACAAATTCCACGGGAGACTTCGTAAGTTGCTCAAGCCCTTTGGTTTCCACAAAGGAAGACATTTCAAAACTTTTGTTGCGTTCTGAAAATTTAAAGAGGAAATAAAAACAGTGACACATTAGAGTGTGACATCATGTGATACACGAGCTGCAAACAACCGGTTCAGTCTCAGTCCCCTTATCCCATCTACTATTCACCAGCTCATTTCACCTCTATCTCAAAGAATTTACATAGACAATCGTTTGCTGATGGCAGCAAGCTCAGTCTGCACGTACTCAAGAGCTCCATCTGAACTCATGCTAGCACTGCCCAAATCAAGGGCATTGGTACTGCCCGAGATTGCTACCGTACCAGCTGCAGGCAACAGAAAGTCAGTGCACAGGGAGAGATGTCTCATGTTCACTTGCAACATACCATGTTGATGTATTTGAGAGGTAGAGCCCAAAGCTCACAGGTGTGATGCAGAGGCATTACAGCAGCTTTTGTGGGGAACACAAAGAGCTCTGCTGGATCTCTAGATTGTCTTTGCAGGCAGATGGAAGGGCTTTGAGCCAATTTGAAGCAATAATAACTAATGTCCGTATCAGATTAAACTAAGCAGCGCGCTAGCTGTGCCTACAGCGGTTCTCGTTATCTTCAGTATGTCAGGGTAAGGTCACATCTGTCTCAAACAGTCATGGAAACACTGCTATCTAATCAAGCCTGAAGGTACACTCCTGTGTCCCAGCAGGTCTTCAGACCCAGTCTTGGACTAATACAGAGCTTCTATGACCTCTTTAATTTGGTCAAACTTTCTGACCTGACAGTGGTGAAAAGCTCCTCCTAGGCTTGTAACTCAGTAGGACTAAACATTAATTTGTGTATCATTTGTTACTCACCTTTGCCTGACGTAGCAGAGAGCCTAAGTCAAGACCCTTCTAGCTTCAGTATTTTTTCCTTTACATTTTTGTAGAGAAGGTAAGGATTCCTGTAAAATAACAGCTTCCCATTTCATCACAATCAGCTGCGTAGATTGCCTAGAAGGGGCCACAGCGCTGGGAGGTCATATCCACTAGATATGTCAGCACTGCTCTCTTTAAAAATGAAGTAAACAGCGCCTGTGTTGAAACATGAACTCCCTAGCCTCACCACTTTATTGAAAGCAAATAATAAGGCAGAGCGGAGGCTTGCTCTCAGCCGGTTTTAAAAGTAATTGTGCTGCAGTAATCCAGGGATGGCCAGGAGGCCAGCCTGGCCGGCTCCTCAAAGTCAAACTGCGAAGCCACAGGAGATGGATAAAACTGAACAAAAGCACTTGTCTTGCAGAGAGAAGCAGGACAGAAACAGGTGGACACTTTCCTTAGAGGAAGCCAGAAAGGAAGCAGTGGCTCCAGAGAAGTCAGGAGCTAGATTGTTTGGGCCAACGTGAGAGAAAATGTGCTGCCGGCTTGTGAACTACAAACTATTTTCAGTGTACATTGAAAAGTCATAGGATGACTGAGGCATTCCAAAAGTGATTCTCTCCCTCTAGGAGAGCTGGGACTCAGACTTTATTGTGGTCCTTATTTCTAATTAGCAACCATCATGCTACTGCCATTATTCATAGCTCTTATCTCCTAATGGCGAAAGATTCCTGCCATTCCCTAGAGGTTGCTCTCTTACTGCTCCTCTTCTTTTCCAACATGCAACATCCTCTCTTTCTCCAGACTCTGTTCCAGCCAGTTCACCTCCATCTCAGCTCCTTATAAAGTCACTGAGATTATTCTTATTCCAATCTTCCCCTTTACTAGTGGGATAGCACTACCAACACACATATATATAGTGGTTTTATTCCATTTAGAATTCAGGTGCTAGAATTCGTTGTAGTAATAGACCGTATCTCAGTCTTATCTTAAAGTAGAGCATCTGCAGGAAACCAGAACTGGTAGCTGTTAAATGACTTGGTTACTAAATGTCCGGGGCTTAATCAAACTCCTAATTAAATTAAGAACAATTATTTCCTTGCAGTATCTGGAGAGGATTAAGAAACCTGCCCTTCGAAGAAAAGACTGTGTAGGAGAGAGATTTCTCTCTTGTGATACATTACACCGTGCTATCTTATCAAGAGAAAGTCACTACGGAGTGGACAAACAACTCATTGAAAAACTGTCTGAAAAACTTGAGAAAAACCCCAGTTACAGCTACTTGCTGCCAGAGAGAGGGAACTTCTCTAGTGAGAGCAACCAGGGGACTGTTACAGATCCAGTGCTATTCAATATTTCTGTTAACAAGTTGGATGCAAGACCAGAAAATGCACTTTTAAAATGTGTGAGAGACAGCAGCAGTGAGGTACTGTTATCACCATGGAGGCAAGGATCACAAATCAAAACAAATTCTGAATTAGAAAATATTAAATTAGAAAAATGCTGTAACACTGAAATGATGAAACTGTATAAAAGATGACAATGGTCAGGTGAACAAAAATAAAATCGGGGCAACAACTGGATAGGCAGCAAATTAAAAAACAATGCTCATCTAACTCCTTTTTTATTCAGCTCATCTTTGCTGAATTTAATGAAGGTCCTGCAGTGAGTCCAGGCCAGGACTAAGACCAGAATGCACAAGGCATGCTATAGCACCCACTGCTTTAACCAGGTCTTAACATTTACCACGTCAGGCCACTGCTTTAACAAACTGGTCACATTTATCACCCAACTTTTTTTTCGACACAAACATCAGAAATATTAATTCCTTAACATTATGAGTTCACAGAAGCAGTATGATTGATCAAAGCTCACAGCAAGACTTAGGAGAAAAAAATCTGGATGTCAGCAGTTCTTTACAAAAGAAAAAACTCAGAAAGGCACAGGCATGTGAACAGAAGAAATCTACACAAAACAATTTTATAACAGCTGCATCAACTTTTCCTGCTAGGATTCACATGGCTGCCTTTCCAGAAGGAATATCTCCTTCCCACTGTGTTCCTCTAACTCTCATTAGAGCTAGAGGAGATTATAAACATCCAAGGGGACACTACAACGGGGAACAAGCACAGCTCTCTGCATGATTTTGTGACTGCTCGTGTGTATGTCTGTATAAATACCCATATACAAATGAACAGGTCGATAACTTCTTACATGTTTATTATTCATCATGAGTAAATGCAAAATCTTGTGTACAGATATGGACTTAGGCACCAATTACTGTCCTCTGCCAAGGCCTCCACAAATCCATAATAAATTAAAGTGCTATAGACTTCTTTAACTAAAATGCTCCAAGAGCATATTGCAACCTGTCAAAACAAAGTGAAAAAGGGCAGGCAAGCAGCAGGGGGTTCTGCACCAAGAAAGGAAAAGATGCTGCAGTGTTTATTGAGGATGCCACAAAGTGCATGCCTAGCAAGGCATCTTCTGTAAAAGCCAGCGGGGGATGAAATTATGGCCTTTTCTATACAATACACAGAGGTAGGAAAGAGTGAATTTGCATATGGGGAAGGGCGTTCTGCTTACACTGAATCCTCTATAAAAGTAGCAGAGGCAAACTATAAAGCACTTGCTCAATCCAAAGGAATATTTATGACCACCTTTGTCAAACCGTTTAAGTTACTTTTCAGTCACGGACAACGAAGACAATGTAAGTAGAATGTTTTCAAAAAATGTTTTTGAAATGGTAGCATGTGTACTGTTGATGAAGTTTGATTTCTAGATTAACGCAGGTTTCAAAATAAATATGGAATTATTTGGCTTGATACCAAGGGAACATTTTCTGTCCATGAGCCTGTATCTAACTGAGAGGAAGCCAAGTAGCATTTCTCCAGAACTTTTTTCCAAACACTTGCTAGGTAATTTCCAGTATACGATGTTGCTCATGCTTAGATTACTTACTTTTTGATACTTCAAATGACTCAAACTTCACAGGCTGAATGTAGTTCACCAGGTTAGACATCTCTTCTGTGGCCATGGCCTCGCTTCCAGCAGTACCCTAGGACAGAGAAGGGAAAATGCTGCAGTTTTGACCTGTCAAAATCCATGGTGGCCATCAGATGTCACAAATACCAAAGCCCAGTTTTCTATCGACTGTGATAGCTTCTACTGTGATGTCAATGCCTCACAAAGCTTCACATACTAACAAAGAAAATTTGCTATAAAATTTAAATGTTTAATTAAACTGCTGTATTTATTTATTTTTCTTCACACAGCTCCTAGGGAAGAGACTGCATTACTTTTACATATGCATAGCACTGAGCACATTTATCAGTCCTGTTGGATAAATAATAAATATAGCTCTAAGTTTTCAATGTCGAGTTTTTCTTCCAACAATGCTAAATACATCATAAGCAGTTGTGTAAAACAGATCAGCTGTGGTGCTATTAATTCTTATTCTTCAGTAAATGAAAATATAAATAAACAAAGCAAAGATGTGCTTCCAAACCAATTAACAACCAACTTCAGAAAGTTGGTGGTGTTTCCCAGTGCTCTGCCTCCCTTTCTCCACTAGATGGTAGTCCCACTCCTGGTAACTCAAGCCAACCCACAACTGCTGGAATCAACCCATCACCGTAAGACACATCTACACCCTTACTTCATCCATCGACGACTTTTTACAGTCATCATCGTAGTCATCATCATCGTCACTTTCAATCTCTGCTTCTCCTGAAAAGTTTTAAGCAGAAGATAATTACTGGCTGAAGCAAGTTATAAATACCAGCGATAAATTTGAGAAAGATGTGAAAGTAGCTCTGCTTAAAGAAGACTACATCAGACGTGTTTTTTATCACAGAACAAATCAAATACACTGTCTCGAGGGATTCATCCATCCTCAGCACTGATAAGTTCTTATTGCCCAAACAAAAACTCTTCCTTTGCAGCTGCTGGGCACTCAGTGTTTGGAAATCACAGGAGAGGTAACAGCACAGAGAAAAGAGCATCGTGGTGTGCTCAGTGTGTGGGTATAGTATCACAAACTACTCTGAAGAGATGGTCCCATGCTTGCGGCACCGCCCTGGGGCTGTGAATTCAAACTCCCTCTGATGCAGGATCCCTGCACGACTTTCAGACAACTTTCACCTGCTCTGAGAAGCGAACACATAACAGCACGCACGGGGTGAAGAAACCATGCATGAAAATCGATGAGATTGTCATGCGCTGTGGCAGCAAGGGGTGTTCAGCAAATTCCATCTGTTCTGAACGCATCGCAGTGCATGTACTGCGGCAGCGCAGCTGGGAGGATCCGGCACAGGAGCCTAACTGCAATAGCATGACTTAATTCCCTTCACAGGCTGCTTTGGTGCGCCCTACTGCTAGGACTCTGGTGGCATAGCTCAAACGCACCGGCTGAGGGCAGTGCAAATCAAATAATGTGAGGAAGATGCCCAAGGCTCATCCTTTCCCTGAAAACGTAGTGATAGAGTAAATGGGACCAAATAAAACACATTTTATGCTTTGCTCCCAGTTGCGGTGTACTCATCAAATTCCTACGGGCAAGACACAGAATCTTTATTGTTAATTAACGAATGCCTCCCCTCGCCTCCAAAATGTTTTGATTTGGTTGCACCAGAAATTAAACTATTAAGGAATATCAAGCTTATCTTTAGTAACTCCTCCTGTGGGTCTGGCTGTCAAAGAATACACTTTTCCAGAAGACTCTTTTTTCCAGAAGACTCTGGAAAAGAAGGTTTCACTTATACTGCAGTCACCTATCCACACCTACAAGATTGACAACTCTCCCTAAAGACCTTATTCCACAAACCTTTCAGTTTTCTTCAGCAGTGGCCATTTCATTTTGGCAGCACGAAAATCTAACCACTGTGCAGCATTCCCAAACTCTCCAGAGAATGGTAATTCAGCCTCGGTTCCTCCTGTCAATTTAGGGCCTAATCCAAAGCCCACTGAGTCAATAAAGAAACTCCTCTTTGTTCCAGCAGGCCTTGAATCATGCCCAGTGGGCCCCTTCTGAACATGGAGAGCACATATGATTTAAATAATGAGTGTGCCTTTCACAACCAAATGATGACTACCCAGGCTGTGTTTCCTTCCAGATGCAGATGTTGAAATGTCAGGCTTTTATTCATGAACACATTTCTTCCTGAACATTTCATTGAAGAAAATAACATGATTGCTCAACAGGCTCAAGGGATGGCTCTGGGAACCTCAACACACTGCAAAGAGCCAAACGAGCTCTCACAGGATTTGCAGCGACAGTCTTTGGATGGGAAACTCTCAATTGATTTAACCGGACTGGCAAAATAACACCTTGCGTAGTTCACAAAACACGGGACAATGGGCAGATTTCAGCCAACTTGCACTGCTGAGATACCAGGTAGATGATAGCTTGTCCTTGCTGTAAGTGTCCAGAGAGGACAGTATGGAACACATTATTCTTTTTTTAAAAAATATTTAACAGGAAATCTCCCAAGGAGATCACATCTCATTTTCAAGTTCTGCATCAGACAGCAAAATCAGGACAAATAATACACAGGATTGCAAACACAGAATAAAAATTAGTAAGTGTTTTAAAAAGTATGACTACATCTGCATGGCCTTTAGCCAGCAGCATGGTCCTACACTCATACCCAACCTTCTTTTCCCGTTCCACTGCTGGGACACAAAGTCAGAGCAAGCCTTGGCCAGACTGAGGAGATGTCTGTGCTGTGGATGCCTTCATGCTCACCCTCGCACAGTGGCAGTGGAATCAGCCTCATGTCATCATTCCTATTTCTTCCCAGTCCCTTTAGATGGGACTACAAACCCAGGTCAGGCCAGGACCTCTCAATGCTATCTGGCATACAAATACAATGAAAATAGAGTCCTGCTCCAAGGGCTCTCCCTCCAAGTACGAGACAAGAGCCTATCCATGGACAGAGGCAGACAGAATCAAGAAATATAAAAAGTTGTTGCTCACTACCACAATAGATAAGTTATAATGCAGATACTGTCAACTGCTTCTATGCAGAAGGGCACAGGAAACTTCTCAGTGGAGCAATGGGGCAGTTTCAAGGAAGTTTCCAAGGATCTGCCCCTGGTGCGCGGGGCAGCGTGGGGAAGGTGTAAAAGCGCTCACTGGGCAGTGTAACAAGTGGACAAAGGAGGCTGAACCCCGACTGATGGGGGTTCAACACAGTAATACTGAATGGAAGATGATTAGGAGAGGAGAGCCAGAATGACAAGCCAAATCCCTATTACCAAGGGTTGAGGAGGCAGAGTGCTAAGTATTATCCATTCTCACCATGCCTCAGCAGCGTGACAGATATCGAGAACCTAATAACATGAAAGGTTGAAATTCCGAGGAATTTGGTAATCTGCTTTCTCAGAGCCCTTTAAAATAACAGCCAGAATGGATTATAAATGTGGTACCCGCTGGTGCAGCTTGTTAGCTCCGTAACGTTTAGGCAGCCACCAGCATCTTGGCTGGGGTCGGGGGGGGGGGGGGGGGGGGGACACCTT